AAATAAATATTATTATTTGTATAATACTATTATTTATTATAAAAAATTATTATTTGTACAATAATTAACTACACATGTTGATAGATATTTTATGCTTTAAATTATATTTGTATTAATTTAAAATAAGTTCATTTCACTGAAAAAAGGAGAATAATCACAAATTTTCCAATCAATAATGTTTTAAACTACTAAAATGATATATTATTACATTATCATTTAATTATGGAATAATAGTTTTGTTAATTTTTTTGTAATTATTTATATTCATAGTATATATTTCAATTTTAGGAATAATTTTGTATCAAAAATGTGTTTTTGTCCTCTCATCTTGGACAATATAGGTTTTTGCCACTTTGCTTGGCAAAAACCTGTTTTTGCCAGGACGGTTTTTACCGGTATTTACCATGGTTTTTTCCACCTGCGGCAAAATCTTGCCAACCCTGTTCTTTCTAATGCTGGCATTTTTACTGTTTACCTCATTTAATCAGTCTACCTGGTCAAAAAATAAAAGTAACTAAACCTATTGATTGAATTGTCCTAAAAGACTTTGTTGTGTAGATAAGACTGTTATAGCAATATAACTCGGGCCACCATAAGAGTACCTTATAATTCAATTGTCTTGAATATAAGGTATTTGAACAATATATCAAAAAAGCAAAATATCAATTTAAAGTATATGTTAGCACACAGATATAATGACTTTAATTTCAATGCATCGGAACTCCGATTAAGAGGCCTAGGTGAGAAGACCTCGCTTGATGTAAAGATTTAACTTTCAAAGATCTTACGCTACCATCGCTCTGAAGACGGTGATAAATTTGTTTTGTTATATGTTGAATGACCTTTATATTAATCTTGTTGAATACTTTAACTTATTATACACTTTTATTCAGAAATCAAGATTTAATGGGAGAGTGTGAATCTGGGTGTAGAACTTCAATGTATCCTGTTTAATTTTTGATCTTAATATTTCATTAATAATATAACTAACTTAATATTTCATTTCTTGTAGTTAATTTTTAAGGGGACTACTATAGCTTTAGGTTTGCTGTATATTTCGTTAATTTTTTTAAAAAATTTTTTTTGTTTTAAGCTATACAGTGTTTTCACTACAGCGCGGGAACGCGGGAATCTCGCATATTTTTTTCTTTTCTCGCATTAAAACATTATTACTGTGAGAAATTCGCGCATTCTGTAAATCAACTTCAAAATTCGCGAATTTCTCGCATTTTGGAAGAAATTTCGAATTACGCTATTTAGAATAAAGTCCGTTTCACTTTTCTTCCTGGATCTTTCATTATTTTCAACATCTGCCCCATTATCTAGCTTCCCTATTTACCAGTATTGTTCAGAACCTTTTCCAACAACAGAACACAACCGAACCACGGAACCCCTTTCAGAACACATTTCTCTGTATCCACGTGTTTACTGTAGGTAAAGTTTTTTCATGTAAGACGTTCAAATTTTTTATGCACTAATGTAAGATGGACAAATACCTAGTGATGGCAAAATCTTCTATGATGATGCAGCAAGAATATTCAATGCTTTAAAAAATAGAAGACATTAAAAATGTATTATAATAAAAGAAATGATTTTTTTTTTCAAGTCTATTTATGTTTTTTCAGTTTTTAGAAATCTCACTTAACTTTCTGAAATCTCACCCTGTTTTTGAGAAAGGGTGAGAAATTCTCACCCATTTTTTTTCTATGATGAAAACACTGCTATATAATTTAATCGAAGTAATTTGTGCTTAAATAAACTACTACAGTGTTTTATTAATTTTATCTGTTCTTTATATTTTTATTTATTTTTTAATGTTCGTAAGTTTAATTTTTTTTTTTTTTATGAAATTTTACTATTAATAAACCAATAATTTTTAAAAAATTTAGAAAAATCTTGATTTTATTTATTTATTGGAATTCAACCATCATTTAATCTATATTTTAATTAAAAAATAAAATGTTAAAAAACAGTGCTTTTTTTTAAAATGTTTATTTTTTTAAATTTTAAGATTGATTTTAAATTTCTGTTTATGTGGTTTTGTTTCAAACCTGAAGTTCTGTGTTTTTAATGTAAACCAAGTCACATGTTATATCATGCATTGTATCTGACGATATATCGCAATTATTATTTTATATATCGCTTTGTCCTTCGCACTTTTCAGAGGAGCCACAAATTTTTTTTTTGTTGATACAATTAAGATTTACATTGAGTACTGCTCACTAATTACCCCTCCTTTCGTAATGAACTTCAATGGCATCATATCCTTTTTCTGTCTACAATGCTCAACATTAATTTTAAAGTCATTTTAATTTAAAAATTAGAAGTAATAAAAATTAAGCCTTACTTTTGGTCTATTTAATTATTAAATAATAAAAATGAGTGCTTTTCTTTTTTCCTGAAAATGGAGATCTGTCTTGAAAAAAAAATCGACTGGCAGAATTCCTTACCAGCAAAATTATATATTCTTTTGCATCTTTAATTCTAATCTTAGTAGAATTTCCAGAATTGACTGTAATCAATTATAAAAATGACTGCTTAAATCTTTTCCAGTTAAGCCTTTTTTTATTAATCAATATACTTAAAAAGTGTGGGTTCTCTTGTTACAAATTTTTTATGTTTTCTTTTACCAAATTTGAATTTTATGTATATATTTAACAATATAAGTGTCTCAAAAACAGTGTATCTACAGTGTAGGTATCTCAGAAAATTAACATTAATTATATTTTATGTTATTAAAGCAGAAATATGATAAAAATGTTAGAAAAAGGACACTATTTCAGAAACTATTTTATGCATGTGGAATGTGTGTTTTTTAGATTTGAAGCAACTAAATTGTCTATTTTTAGAGTCTTGTCTCAGTAACAACCCTGTTCTTTTTAGATTATCTCATAGCCATAAGTCCTCAATTTAGTTTGACGTTGTCAAGGTTACCTTTTTTATTTCTATATATTTATTAGGTAAATAATGATTGAAAGGAATGTTTTTTAACAAGTTAGTTTAATAGATAAAAGATTAAGGTAGGGATTGGTTAACATGGGCACAGACTTCATAGGAACATTGCTTCAGACATGCATTTATGTGGGTAATTATTTAGTGGCATATTTGAAAAGGGGACCACGAGATAAAAAAGAAGTTAGAGTTAGAAGTTTAAATAAATAGGAAATAGTGCAGTTTTGGATTTGAGCTGAATCAAAATCTCCTACAATTTTTTTTTTTTTTTTTTGAGACATAATCNAATGGGATACCCAAGGCCCGTGTTAAGTATTCGCCACCTTGCCAAATGCGATAAAATTGTAAATTTGGCTAATAAAATTGTGTTTTGGCAAAAGTATCAGTGAATGATTTTTTTCACTGGAAAGAAAAATATATATTTGACTTGATCTTCAAAATTACGTCAAAATACATTTTTCTAAACAGATCAGTATTTTTTATTCGATTACAGTAATTTTTGGTAGATGTACCGCAGAATCAATTGGAATTGGATCCAAAATAATATAAGCCTGAAATAAGATAACTTGGCTAATTTACTGCCTAAAAATTTGAAATCCTTAGCGCAGGCCTTAGATACCTGCAAATGACGTAGTGTGGGTACTCGATCCTAATTGGTTGTTGAAATGTGGAATTTGTTTACATTGGCAACTGATCTTTCCATTCTATTTCGAGTAAGCCAACCCCATTGATTCTCTTAAGTGACACATTCTATGTTCTTTCACAAAGATTTTTTCACAGAGATTTAAATTATTTCTCCATATATTTTTTATTTAACACATAGACAGGCACAAAGCCATCTAGAACATAAACGAACTAATTATGCATCGAAGTTGTCAGGTACACAAAACGAAAATATATCCCAGTTACAGTAAAATACAGACGGATAATAAATCTAAGCCAAGTAAAAGATGTCAATAAAAAAAGAATTTTATTTCAAAAAATTTGAGGTACTATGCAGCACTTTATTTAATTAATTTCACGTTAATTAACATTCTAACTTATGTCGAGAAACTTAGCTCAACTTTAACATGCTATTTTGCTTATAACTATCAGCTGGCACTGACGTCGTGGGTCACATGCATGGGTATCCGAGGTCTTCTTCGTTAAGTGCAAGTACCCAATCAAGAAATTAAAAATAGAACATTATTTTAAACAAAATGTTATACTAATGTCTTATTTTGATTTTATGTAAGGCATATTAAGTCGCTTTTTGGGCAATGTTAGTTGTGTAAGATTTAATAGTCAATTGTCCCCTAATTTTTTTTTGAAAATGGGAAGACATAGTTTTGTGGTATTTAAAGGCATAACATTTTAGGGCATTGTTTTGATTGATTAGAGCATTAAATATTGTTTTGATTTTATATTAGGGCATAACATATTTGTTGTAACATAATGAACTAACTATATTACATAAAGAATGATATCTATAAACAGAAGTCACTTGTATCATTCTAGTTTTTTATTGATAAAACATATCCATTCAAATATTGTTTTATAGGTTTATGAAGTTTGAAAGAAACTAAAATAGTATTACTTTATATTTCAGATCAAAGGCTGCATTTTTGACAGCTGTCCTGCTAAAGTGAGAGTGATGGGTTTTGTTAGAGCTACTCTGGCCATGACTGATGGTAACATCATAAAACGGTACGCAGCCGCTATCATGGCCGTATTCCGAGCCACAATCGCCGGTCTCTATAGTGCATTGTTCAGATTTTTTACTGGTAAGTTTACCACCTACAGAGTCTGGAATGCATTGCTGGAAGAGCCCAACGTTTGCCCCCAGTTGTTCCTCTTCTCGAAGAATGATCTCGTCTGCTGCTGGGATACCATCCAAGAGTTTGCCGATCTCCGGAAGAAGATAGGAGTTGTCACAAAAACAGTTTTGTTTGAAGAATCTGAACATGTCAAGCACATGATCATGTATAGAGATGAATATCTAAAACATGTTTACGAGTTCATAGATGATTATACCTGTGATGATACGGTGGGTGATAACTAAAATACTTTTAGCAAAGTTAAGGTTTATTTTAGATGCCTCCTCTATTTATTTTCATCTAGATGCTTACGCCATTGTTATGCGGAATATACACTGAGCAGTAAAGTGCATTGCATATCATTTTGCACATTTGATCTCGGTATCTGTCTCTGCAATTTTACATTTGTAATCTAGGTTGTAAACAATGCATTTATGTTATGCATTTTTTCATTTTATGTAGTATATAGGCAAACACATTTATGTTGCAGATGTAGGTCTTCATTTTAAAAAATGATGCGAGGTCAACATGAAAATGTTGTTATAAATTATTTATTTTCAGTAAAATTTGTCAGTATTTTAAAATTTATTTAAGACTCGTGTTTATAAATGTTATTTATTGTCATTGATTTTAAAATCACTAAAGGACAGTGCAGAGGCTATAGGGCAAAATTGATGAATTTTATTAGTTGAAAACATCATACACAATGCATAAATTTCACATAACCTGTTTGGAGAGATCAGGAAATTTTTTTTATTGTAGATAAGAACCCTGTAATGTAAACCCTACTTTGAGTAATGGTTTTAAAAAAATGCTTTACTATGAAATAAAAACATTTTCTATAGTTTTTTTGTGTGGAGGGGGGGGGGGNTTGTGTGGAGGGGGGGGGGGTGGCTGCATATTTTCAAAAGTGGCCACTATTAAAGATGCTGCTAAGATGCTATTGGCTGGTAACAATATCTTCTAATTTTGCCTTATAGCGAGGGCATTAATAAGTGCACATTAGGTATAAAACATGCTAAGTCCAATGGTGAAATGTCCTCATACTTTTTGCATTGTTCTATTAAGTTTTATAGCTTGTTTTACGTTATGTCATGTATGAGGATCATTTTTTAAGTAAGAGCCATTTGAAAAATAAAAACCAAACGAAAGACAATTTTCAAGAAAGAAATTTATTTTCAGATTCTACATACTTCTCTTTTTTTCAGCATAGTTGCTACGTTTGTTTAAACACTTATCATACCTTACAACTAGATTTAGAATACCCTCTTCATACGAACTTTCGACTTGCTGCTTTAACCAAGAGTTTTCACGTATTCGTCATCGTTGTAGTGATTGCCATCAAAATGATGTTTGAAATGTCAGAAAAGATGAAAATCACTGATCTGGGTTGTAGGGAGGGGTGGTTCAAAACTTCCTAACCAAAAGAGTCCAATAATGCTGGGATCTGAACTGCAGAGAATCATTGTCATAGAGTAGCAAAATTCCTTGTCAGTATGGCAGGGAATTTCGCTACTTCACAAATCGTCCAGTGAATGTATGCAACAGACACGTTTTTTTCCCATCTAAAAACGCCTCACTGACCATATCTCGTGCGTGGTGGGCAATTTGTTAAATTTGACCGTACACTTTACCTACACAGCTGCAACTGAGCACAGTTGTTCCCATGGAATGGCCGAGACACGACACAAGTGCTCGTTGCTACGCACGTGTCACATATTACAGAGTGCGTAGTGTTTTTATAAAGTGCTTAAAGGTGCTTATTTTTGATTTTCGTTATTGAAAAGTCCTTAAAGGTGCTCTTTTTATGGGGTGTTTTAAAAAGTGCTTCATTTTCCCTTTTGAAAAAGGAGATTTTTTGTCTTTACCATGTCGATTTTCGCCAAGTATTATGCAAAAGCGTGGTTTTCACATTGTTCTATTTAACGTTTTCACAAATCATTCAAACGCAATGCGTTTCAGCGTGCAATCGTTCCTTAGCTATGAAAGCACCAATCATTTTACATGTTTGATGAAATGCTTGCGGGTCCGCATGTGCATATACTGAGCTGGATTCAGTGGGAATTATTCTTGCACTATCATGTGCAACTCGGCTGAATTTTGCAAGAGATTCTCAATTTCCTCCCTCTGAAATCGAACCGAAAATCTTTGTCTTTTTATGGTGGCTAATGTAATCAAGAATAAGAGTTCTTTGTCAGAACCTATTTATTTTATCATGATCATGTAAGGTTTTTGAAAATTATTTTGCATTTCGTTAATGTATACAGTGCTTAAAAATATTTTTTAAGTGCTTTAAAGGTGCTTATTTTTTTATGAAAGATTTGGCTATGCACCCTATATTAGTGTACGTAACGGCCCTTACTTAAAAAACAACCCTCGTATAATTTCCGTTACAAAAGTGGCTTTTCTACTTTTTGCAAACGAATCAAAAGCTCACCATTTTAACAAGATGGTCAGCAAAACTAGTTTTACACTGTTATCTTGAACATTTGTTAGGTTCTTAATTTATTTATGTATTTTATCTGCCATTGCTGTGAGTGGAGGTTTGATTAAATTGTAAGTTACATGATATGCCTTAAACAATTTATTATCTGTCCCGTGACACAATTGAAATTTTTTTTCCATATGTTCTATGCATCTGACATTAGTTCTGTTGACTACACATAACTATATTCTACATTGACTCCATGCAAGTTTTTGTGGAAACAATTTTACAAAAACTTATTGCTTTGACAAAGCTAATAAAGTTGAGTTTATAAAAATGTATAAAAATATTAGTTTTTGTGAGTGATACATATTTTCATGAAAAAAAATTTAATTAAATGGTTATTATGAAATTGATCATAAGAAAACCAGGCTTATATTTCTTTTGCATTTAGCATAAATCTTTATGTGGATTAATTTAAAAAATAATCACTAATGATATTTCAAATTGTGCTGATCCTATGCATAAAAAATTTTAGAACATTTTAGTTAATAACTATAAACTATTTTCATACAATTTAAGCTCTCTTAAAATTGAATAGATAAAGTAAATAAATTAGTTTCATTTTAAATTTGAACTTATTTAATGTGTGGCTGAAAAATACTACAATTTTAATTTTCATACGATAATCAACATTAATTTTAAAAAGATTATTTAACTCACTGGCGGTCTAGCAAAGGGGCAAAATTGGGAGAATGTTTCTCCTTATTACACTATTTCCCTATCTAATAACACGGAAGTGCCGGTTTTACTATGCGGTTAAAATACGACTTTCTACGTGCAGAACCGTCAGTGGGTTAATGAAAAAAATATTTTTATGCAAATATAATTAAATACATTCTGACCATTTGAATATCTGTAAATATGAGATGGATGGATAATATTTAACTTTATCTCAGTTAAAAAATTTTGTTTTATTATTTGTGTCTCAAAAGTACATAACAATGATTTTAGTTTCAACCTTTTGATTGTTAAGATTAAAACACAATCAAAATTTTTTGAATATCAAATATATTTCATAGCTGATGTCTTTCATTACTTCAACATATTTTATGAAAATATATTTACCCTTTATTTATTTATTTTGTTTTAAATCTGGATGCAAAATATTTTTTGTCAGATTCTCATTTATCGTGTATACATTTTCTTTACCTTTTTATTTATTTCTTATTAAGACTAGTGTGTATTGCGTTCCTTATTAGGACTCTAGTATTATTTTTGTCATAAATGTTTGTGATTTTGTTATTGGCATAAGACTAAAACTCCCTAGAAATTATTTATTGTGCTGTGCTGTATTAGGGGCTATTAAAAGGTATGGGACCATGTAACATTCATTGAATGAATGTTATGGAAGTGTGATTATTAATATCTGTGATGGATTTTATTTTACCTTGTTGAAGTAACTATTAGAAAGTTTTAATCATTATTATCTGTATGAAAATGTTTAAAATAGTTTGACCCACCCGGTGTTGATTATTTATTTATTTTACTTTTATTCAGATTGATATTTTCCTACATTCAGAATAGCCACGAAACTGGAGAATAGGGAAAAGTCAGGGAATTTTATCAATCTGGGAAAAGACACAGAATTTAATTAAAATATACAAAAATTCAAGTTTAAAGTACTTAAAAGCTCAATATTTTTTACAAAAGAAATTGGCCTTGTAATATTTTTTTTTATTAAAAAAAAATTCTATATATCTTCAAGTCTAAAAGCAAGTATTTTGTAATATATTTTTTGCTTAAAAAGGCATAATGGAAAAATTAATAATAAAATGCATTTTGCCAGTTACAAAAATCAGGGTTATTTTTCTTTTCAGAGTGCCTATGGCCATCCTGTATATTATTCTGTAGGATATTATACATAAGGGGGAAAAAATATTTTTATAAAAATATTAAGTATAATTTATTATGTCTCAGGGTAATTTAACAATTTCACATTCACAAAATTTAACTTGAACAGAGTAAATAATTCATAAACATGAATAATAAATGTTATTGTAAAACATTTATTGTTCATTGTAATTTTATTGGCATAGAATTATGTATTTTATTTGCTAATTTAAAATATTGAATGTTTTATTCAATATTGATTTAAATTGAATGTCACTGTGATATGTCTTACTTATTTGTCCAAAAGCAAGTACTTCTTTTTTTTTAAGCTTTACAAATGGTTTTTAGTTCATTAAGACAATGTTAAATTATATTGAAATTAAAAAATGTTTTAAAAAAACATTATAGAGTTTTCTTTCTTCTAATTATTTTGTGGTGATATTTTACAATCAACAATTTCTTAAAAATATATAAATATGTAATTTACACTTATTTATTTGATTACTTGCACTTATTTGATTTGAGAAATTAATTTTGTTTGCTTAAAGATTTATGTTATTATTGTAATCCACCTATTTGCTACTTAATGTATAAAATATGAAATAAAAAGTATATTTAATCTGGATCTTATTCTTTTTTATTTAAAAAAAATTGTTAGCTTAGGTTTTTATTTTTTTTAACAAAGCTTTAATCTGGACAAATCTGTATTGTGAACTTTTCATTATCAAAGTCACCCATAGAGAATGATCAATTAATTGATATGTATTGGGACATTTTATGTATTAGTTATAATTTAAAAGAGAAATTACTATTAAAATATAATTTTATAGCTTTACACAATTAGGAATGTTATTTAAGTTATCAAGAAACCTAATGGCAATCCTACTATAAGTGACTAATTATTTAATCAAATTTACCGAGTATCACAAATCTTAATGAGGTAAACGGCAAATAATTTTTAGAAAAGGAGTGAACTTGGCAATAAAAAATCTTAGGCAGAAACATGTTGCATGTTTTTCTCTTAGCTTGCTTTTTTTGTTTTTGTTTCTACTAGAGCTGGGAGATAGATTGTGAAATATTTATGTGTTATAAAATGGTAATGAAGATATTTTCTTATAATAAGTATTTAATACAAAATATCATAATCATTATTAATAGTAATAAATATCAATTGTGATATAATCGAGAATCCTAGTTCAATTATGACTAAAGTGACAAGTTCAGACATTTTTTATCTTCAGTTGGTATAGTTTTATCTATCATTTAAATGATTTTTAAATAAAAATTTTGAGGAATAATTAATTTAAATTTAACTCTCAAAATATTTTCTTAGCTGAAGCAGTTATATTTTTTTAACAGCTGATGAAATTATCAAAATATGAATAAACTAACATAAAAAATGAGAAACTTTGTTTATAGTATTACACAGTTCAGTGAAATGAATGTGACCATTTTTACATATCCGCCGTTGAACAGCCGACCCAATTTTGGGTTTACGATTACTAGTGTTCAACTACGTAGCCTTGCAATTTTTAACCAATTCAGAAGACAAGGAACTCCTGGGTCAATACCCCCAGAGATATTGATTTGTTATGGGAACATGGAGGACTTTGCGACTAGACAGATTTAACATGCATCAGTCACCATTTACTACACAGGGAGTCTTTGGTCGGTGGGGATCGAACTATTGGACATGGGCCCAGTGCCCTACCAAACAGGCTATCCCGGCCCATTAATGTGACCATTGGTCAAAAACCAGAATAAGAGCCGCGATGGCTCAAGGGATAGAGCGTTCGCCTTCCAAACCCATGAACAGTGGTAGACGGATCATGGGTTAGAGTCCCCTTGCCGTCAGATTAACCGTGGGAGGTTATCGTGGTCTTCCTCTCCATGTAACGCGAATGCGGGCTAGCTCCATCAAAAAGTCCTCCATATAGGCAAATTTTTTCCAATACTCGAAGCAGGAGATCCCTTGTCTTCTCAATTGGGTTCGAAATTACAAGGCTACAGAGTTGAACATAAGTAGTTGTAAACCCATAAAATTGGGTCGGGCGTTTAACGACGGTTATAAAGTAAAATAAAAACCAGAATAACCACCTTTCGCAGAGCAAACCTCTGTGAGACGTTCTCGATGTTGAGCCATGCCGATTTCAGTGCCATGGCCCGCTGCACTAGGTTACACGGTTGAGGATCCATGGTGCAATCAAGGTGGTCCAACAGATTATTATGGATTAGGTTTAAGTAAGGGGGAGTATAGAAAACTCATCCTGATATGGCGCATCACATCTGCTGGTAGATGCCACCGTCCCGAGGAAAAACAATTGGCTTGTAGGAGTGGACATGGTCCAAAAGGACAGATGCATGTTCGTGTTGTCCTATCATGTCTTCCAAAATGATGAGTGCACTAAGAGAATGCCACAAAAACTTTCCCCAGACTAAGATAGTCTTTCCTCCAACTTGGACCCTGACAACAATTTGCCTCATTGCTGATTATGGATGATTTCATTTTGGCCATAATTTTCCACGGTGGGAAGTGAACAGTTTACAAAATTAGCCATTTCGGAAATGCTTGGCAGAAAGTCAATGATTATGTCACTTTGGATATCTGACAAATCACTCGATTTCTGCATTACGCTAACAATTGCAATGTTTTCCGATTCCCTCGGACATCTTTTATATACGTTCCACCGCGATGTGCTGCCATCTGTTATTGGTTATTTCATGTTGAGGTTGAAAGTAGATGTCACATTACCACCGAAGTCGAGCATCACTGGCTGCGGTCAGTGTGCGGGTGGGTGACCATTTGGATCAGTCTGCGTAGGGACCGAGGGTGTGCGGTATTGGTCCTCGTTAAACTGTTCTACCGTAAAGTGCTCCACTTCGCGTACAGGTCGTCAGATTGATGAAGCGATCCATCCCCTCTGCAGAGGATCAAAATTGTGATGGCATGTTTTCGGATTATCCTCAGGGATGTTTCCCAGACCGTCGACAATAGCCCATTGTGCAGCTGTAGTACGACGTAAATGAAATACAACAACAGATGCCACATTAACGTGACTAGACTGTATATTTATATTTAGTTCATTTTTTATTGTTATTAATTTTTGACAACTATATTGTATCTGAATTTGTGGATTTATTATATTTTTATAACTTATAGAAAATTAAAGCTCAACGTAAGTTTCATACATTCAATCTAAGCTTTTAGCTTCAAGAGAAGTTTTACTTAATAATTTGTTTGTCTAGTAACCGAAGATAATTTTCTGCATGATAATTAAAATTTAATATAGGTTACATTTCTGTAGGTTAAATGTTTAGAACAATAAAATAAACGTCACAATACTTAATTGCAAAAAGATTAATTATAATTGTATAAAAATTAATTATTTTTAAAGATTTTAATTTTCTAAAGAAAAAAAGCTTTGGCCACATGTGGAAAAATTGGAGTTAGTATCCAGATTGCAAAATAAAAATTTTAGGTGCATAGTTTGCAAAAAAACATGAAGATACACATTTTGAAATATTTTATTTTCGTTTATTAGAGAAAAGATGGAAAAAGCAATTCTTTTTTTCTCCCACCTGAAATGGTAGATTTCTAATGCGTATAGCTTTGATTTTCTAATAATATATTTACAAATTCAATATAAATATTTATATCTTATTACCATCCGTAAGTAATAAATATACAGTCAATTCGCTATAAGTCGAAGTGCGATAACTCGAATATTACTATAACTCGATTTTTTTATGAGGTCCCGACCCTTTTATCTTTAATTTCATGTTAATTATTCTCGATTACTCGAATTTTACTCCCTTTAACTCNCAAATTCAATATAAATATTTATATTTTATTACCATCCGTAAGTAATAAATATATTAGTTAATTTTCTAATGAAAATTATTTGAGTCGAGATTTTTAATGTTTATCAAGTTTAAATTAGAGAAAATTTGAATAGCATCGTATTTATAAAAAAATTTAGTCATGCTTTGAATAAAACATTAATTTGCTTCAAATAGTAAATGAAATAATTTTGGTTTATAATATTTATTCAAATTATATAATGACTTTTATTGCTAAATTCTTTTATTATACAGGCAATTTATATACAATAAACAAAATATTACATTTCAATATATCAGGTACAATAGTAGTTACTTTATATATAAATACCCATCAATAGAATATAGGGCTGCATGCAAACACACGTAAATATTTTTATAAATTCGACATGTAAATAATTTTATTAAATCCTGCTTTTTTATGCTCACATTTTGTGTTAAAAACTAATTACCTTGAGTTGTACCATATTTTAAAAGTATATTTTTAAATAGCTAGCAGCGCCATATTTTGTCAAATGTGAAATTTTATGTGAAAAAATTCTTGTTTATTTTTTTTTCATGCATATTTTTTGGTTTATCATTAATTGGTCTTTCAAATCGTCAGGCAGCTTTAGAACGCTTAATAATATGATAAATAATAATTAATAAACATTATGAAATCCCCTGAAATCAATTTAACATTTATCGTAGAAATTATATATTACTCATTTTGCATGTTAATAATCAAATGCTATTTATGAAGATTTAAACTTGTTTGATTTTACTTTTAAGAAATCAATAATCAAACTGCAGTACTGCAAATAACTTCAAAATAAAAATATATTGTTTTATTAATAATAAAAACATACACTTTTATGAAAGATGAGAAAGAAGATATTCATTTTCACAAGTGATATTAAAAACATACAAATGATTTAAGTAAAATTCAAATAAGTTATTACCTATAATAATGAGAAATAAATCAAATAAAGCAACATTTTATTAACCACGTTATAACATACAGTTTTAAGCATATAAGAATGCATGGAAACAATTTTTACGCTACTTCTTATATTTATACCTTCTATACCAGTTTCAAAGGGAAAAAATGATATGTATGGAAAATTTAACTAAATAACATTGCAATTATAGTTTGCTAGTATAATTAGGTTAGTCCAGCTATATAGTTCGAAATAATTTATTATTTTGTATTAATTCATACAAAAAAAAATTTTTTTTTTTACTCAATAAATAACATTACAAAAACAGTAAAGAGATTCAAACTGTTTAATAAATTTAAGAGTAAATTAGTTTAATTTCTTAAGAAGAGATTCACATTAACTAATAAAGGTACATTATTACTAATAAAAATACTCCTTTCATTTTCTTTTACTCTTCAGTAAAAGAAAGGAGAAAAAATAATAAATATTCAACTACTTAAAAAAAAAAAACTATAAATATAACATGAAAAAAATCAGCCCTTTATTAAACAATAATAAATAAATAAGCGTCTTATTCAGAGAATAAAAGGATAATAAGTGCCACTGAATTTTCAACTGAATGTATCGATTTAAACAAAAACAAATGTTAGCTATATATTAGATCTTTTTACTCTTCAACAATTTTGACACTGAATGCACGTGAATAAGCGTTATTGTACACACCTTGTTTCCAAAACATCTAGCAATAATATACACATAGATAGGGGAATACACAAGAGAGAGGTATGCATTTTCACACAGATTACAAATAATACTTCCAACATTCATTTGACCTAATCATGGAAATGGAGTTGAATGCTTGAGTTTAAAGCTTTATGATTCAAAATCTAAAAGTGGTTAAAAGAGTAAGGTGCCAAATTTAAATGGAATAAAATTGTCATGGAAATGATATAATGAAATAAGTTTAATGCAAAAGGAAAGTAATTTAAATACAAGAAGAAAATAAATCAGATAAAAGAAAGAAATATCATTAGCTGAATGATGCCACATTTACACATCGAAGTTTAAATAAAAAGAAATAAGTTTGAAGTAGCTGCTCCACAAAAAGTATGAGTAATGTTTTTCGAATAGGTCTTGCTGTTGCATGTACACATGGTAAATGTTTCCGAATTTCAGATTAGTTCTTTTGCTCTTGTCTTTCAATACATTCCTCCAAGAATTTAAAAAAAAAAAAAAAGGAGAGAGAGATTGGAAATACTGGCCACAACAAAATTGGCAATGTTTAAATCAGAGATTGATTGAAAGTATTAGGCAGTGTAAAACATTTTTCATTTACTCCATAAATATTTTCATTAAAATATCAAACATAAATAGTTACAGATTCAAATATTCTCAACTTAATACTAAATTCAGTAAAAGAAAGTGAAAACTATACAGAACGAGATTTGAAAATTTCTAATATCACAGTACTTTATGGTAGTTAATCTAATAAAAACATTTTCAAGATAGCTGATTCATCAAATCAATAAAGATTATATCATTTCTAAATTTTGGAACAATAATAAAAATATTCTTAAAGCAATTTAGGTACTAATTGATGTACATAATAGTTAAATATGAACATAATTGTTTGTTTGCTCTAAATGATAATTGTATTAAAAGGTAAAATAATTAACAATTAGCTGGCATTTGCACAGTTTATTATTAATTACACTGAATTTGCAGAAAAATATTAAAAAACTATCAATTTTTATCATTCATTGGTTCTTTAAGGATAACGATAGTCCACTTTTCAAATAAGCTCCAATTTAATTATTTAAGCTATGGTCACACATTTAGGTGATAAGTATATAAAAAAATCTATAACAATATTTTCAAAAAAAATTGATAAATTATTTAAAATATTTGTAAATAAAATTTTGTTCAATGTTAAGTAGTGTATTATATCATTTGTATTTAAAAACTCTAATTGAAAAATTACTGCAAAATATCTAAAGTGCATTTAAAGAGGGACACTAATAATTTTTTTTTACTGAGAGAGAATTTGAATACATTTTGAATTTAGTATTTTTCTTTTGTTGATACACTAAATAGGCAATATTGAAAAAAAATCAAGAAAAATTTTAACAAATAAAAATAGACTATACGAATTGTTGCAGTCACTTTTATTTCTGACGAAATATTTGCAACAATAAGTACTTAAAAATGCTACCTTTAGTATCCTGTCTCAAAATGAAACTGAAGAGCCTATAGTTTAACTTTTATGTATGAATACTTTTTACTTAAAAAAGTAAACATTTTTTTATAATTAAATATGATATTTGTTTACTTTCCTTGTACTAAAAATTGAGATATGAAATTGGCAACTCCTAATAAGACAATAAAACTGTGTAAAACAATGTTCAAGACTGTCAACTGTTGTTTATCCTTCAGAGCTTTTAGGTAAGTAACACATGGGAGAGTAAATATATATGCTAATCCAGATATCGCTCCACAATATCTGAAAAAGGGAAAAATGAATTAAATAATATATTTCATTAAATGATTATTAGAAGAAAAAAAAATTAAAAAAAAAAAAAAAAAAACTTTCTTTTTGCTCCTGCCAAAATGACAGGGTGAAGTTTCGCCTTCTGTTTCTCGCACCCATGATATTTTTGGGCTGGTGTTCAAAAGGAAGACACCAAAAAGATTAAAGCCTGGAAATTTACTTTTATTTCTCAATCTATACACCAGATGGCAGTGTCAAACTATTCGTCATGTGTTAAGAGATAGTTTATTTTAAACTAGATGTCAGCACTCATCAAACATGTAAGCTAAAAATTAACCATCATAAACCATAACAGAGACTTCATCAGATGTTCCTTTTCAAGATTATAAGCTTGAATTTGCATCTGATATAAAACATAAATGGTGAAAAACAAAATAAGACAGAGAATATATAATAATTTATAATGAGCTTCTTTCCTAACTTTTAAAATGGCGATAACTATTATGTGTGTTAATTTAGGAGGAAATAGACAATATAAAAATTAACTTCATGTGTGCTTACTTTCTTTTTCATATATTTTTTTATCTTGCCATTATCTTTCATTGATGAAAGACTCACAATTTTTCAACACCAAACATGATATACATTGTAAATGAACAATTGCTAATATTTTTCAAAATTAACAAACAATGAAAGCAAATTGAAAGTGATTTCATTTAAGCAAATATTGATAACACATAAATACTGATAATCATATCTGATATTTTAATCATTAGCAGACAAAGTGATGAAACAACTAGGAAGTAGATGATATAATCAACAGGTTTACACTTTTCTAAACATGGTTCATAAACTTTTAAGAGAAAACTCTTAACTGATAATACTATCTTACATTTGCTTATCATTAACTTAACCTGATTTTTTTTAATACATATTTTCTAATGGAATTCAAATGTCTGCTAAAACTATTTCATTCAAAAACAGAATATTATTAAATCAATAATTATTGCATAAACTGACCTGCGGCTTTTTCAAAAATTTACCATAATATGCTATGTTTAGACTATAATAATAATTATTTACCACAATAACTTATCATAAATGTGCTATTTCAATACTTTCATACCTATTTCAAGCAATAAATGAAGAAATTGATAGATTAAATTAGAACTGATAATTTATATAGCTTGATCGAAATTTTTTAGAAATTGAAAAAAGAATATAATACGCTCAAACAAAAATTTTGTGTCAAAGTGCATAGAACTCTTTTCATTATTATTTTAAAAGGCAAACCTTAGGATTGTCACTATATTTTTAGATGCCTTTTGAGAGTAACCGAAAACGGTCAAAATTTCAGATAAGATGTTTAATGGTTCCATACTTTAAAATTAGCTTCCTTTTTTTTAAAAAAAAAAAACCATATTTTAAAAATTTTATCACTCAATAAGTAGTAAACCCATTTTATTTCAGTTTTTTATAATTTACAATTCAAACTGATTACTATAAAATATTATTATACTATATTAATATGAAAATAAATTTTTAAAAATAAAAACAAATTATTAAACATATCTTTTTTTTTTTCATTTTTCACATGCAACTGTCTTTAGGAAACCACAATTTAAAAATGGATGCAAACAAATTCGAACTGATGAAATTAGTTTGAGAGAAAATGTAAAAAGTAAAACTTACAATAAAAAACACAAACTTTTGACTGTTCTCCTAACTTAATTATTGTTATCATATTTTTCGGATTGCAGATATTTCGAGGTTCAGAAATCTGAATATAAGTCGGGAATAAAAAGGTAAGTTTAATTGGTGAAATCACATTTTTGCATATGATTTCATAACTTAAATTAATATCTGCATTAATTTACAGGCATATTTAAACTAAGCCTTTTGAACTAAAAAAAATTGCACTATAGTAGCTGAAATGCCGATCATTAGGTCAAAACTCATTTCGGATTTTTTTATTTTAGTATGCATGTCGATGACTATACATGTCTATGATTTAAGCTTACCTTATAATAGTTCCAACTTTTGGCAAATAAATGTTGAATAATATACAAACAGTCAAAATGACAATATTCAATGCCATTACAGGTTTCCAGCTAAAAAAAAAATATAAGTTTTAATTTTTTTAAAAAATAATTAATAATTAAGTATTTATTTTTAGCTGAAATACTCATATATATTAAATTAGAAATTGCAAGAAAGTATAGTGAGCATTTTCGCTAATAGAGAACATTTTCGCTTAGAATCATAGCAAAAAAAAGGTTAAGGGACAATCATAACTTACCCAGGATAGATATTTCCAAAAGCAAAGTGCATTAGTTGTACACGCAATATGTACACAATTAAAGGAAACAAAGTCAATATTTGAAAGAGTAAAAATACTCTAGTTATCACAGCTAGCAAATCAGAACTTCGAAAATTATTCAGCAAATTCTATAAAGAGAAGAGTAATGAATTCAGCACACACTATAAATAGAATAATTGAATCAACATAAAAAAATTAACTTACATCTTCTATGCAGTGTTTCTGGAAAGGGAATGTAACAAAAAAAACTCCACCAATCACCAAATACGTGAATCCCACAAGTAAGTAAGCCATCGCTAAATCTCGAGTCTACGAAGAACAATGGAAGGAAAAATTACAAAGTTGAATAATAACAAATTTACTGCATCAGTATCAAATAAACTAATCTGTTTAATAAGTGACTATGACAGAAAAAATATCAGTATCAAAGTGTGCATACCTGTTTTCAAATTTTTTTAATCATTTATCAAAAGCATTAAAGAACTTCAAAATATTTGCTGTTATTTGATTTTTACTAATTGAGTAAAAGATGGAACCGTCAAACATTGACCCAATGTTTCAGCATTTTTAATTTCCCCCGTATGCACTGTCTTGTTTTAATGGTTCCGTCAGAAAAGTTATTCTTATAATATTAATAGTACTAGTTTAGATCATTTTGGAAACCAAGAGTTTCCCTTTTCTATGTCTCAGAAATTCTACTGACATTTGAAAAAAATTGAAGTTTATTTGTCTTGAGAAGAAAAGTAGTAATTTCTAATGCTAATAACGAAGAAAATGTGGTTTTGCTACACTTTGGGAAAAACATCTCTAACAACAGATTTGATGTTTCTACATCAGATTAAAATGTTAAAATTAGTGGTGATATAAGTTTAAGAAATGGTAGCAGATGCTAAAGAAGTGCAAAGTGATACCAATGAAGACTGAGCTTAACACAACTAATTAGAGGGAGCATTTGAGGAAGGCCTCAAAGACTTTAAAACAATTAGGAACTTTTTGGATTCATATGAACTTTCAGAAATTCAACAAAGGTGGAAAAAAATTTTTTGTTTGTGCAAAGCAGAAAGAGAAGCAAGATTTCCAAATATTTTAAATAAATAAATTCATTTATTTATTCTCTTTTTGCATTGCAAATATATTTGCAGGAATTACTTAATTTTTTTCAATCAAAATTCTTTATACTTATAGTAAATTTATTATTTTTCATAAGTTATTACAACAAATAATTTAGAAAGTGATGTAAATTTTTGCCCCAAAAACCAGGCTTTAGTTAATAATTCTTCGAAAGCATAAGTTTTCTACGTAAAAGTACATTTCGTAGAAGTATAAGATGTTCAAAAATAAAATAAAAAGATTTTTTTATTTTATTAAATATACCTAAAATTTAAGGGATAGAATGCATATATACAAACTAATGTAAGGAAAACAATAGACATATCAATGAAACATTACATACATTATTTTTAGGTTCTTTCTGGTTTCGCATAATAGACAGAACACAGTTATGTATGAAAAAGGACAGAGACAAAGTTCCAACAAGAACAGGAAATGTAACTTGAAACACTAAAAAGAAATATAAAGTTAGATAAATTATAATTTTGATGAAACTTTTTTAACAACATTTCCAGTTCAAAATATGTACAATTTTACAAAACTGTTACACGTTATTTATTACATCTTATATATATGTTACATCTCATATATTTAGTATAACGTAAAAAAATCATTGAAGTTACCACACCAAGTCAGTTGTTATACAACACAAAAAATATAGTGATATTTTGTTTTTATCACTATAGAAATAAAGTGAAATTATTATCTTGTTATTATCATTACTTTAAAAATATAGTGAAATTATTATTTTGTTTTTATCACTAATAAAAAATATAGTAAAATTATTATTTTGTTATTTTTATAATAAAAATATAGTGCAAACATTATAATGCTGTAAATAAAAACCCAGCAAGCACATGATGACGTATAGTTTTACTTTTTTTTTTCTCCTTGGAATTTTTTAATATAAACAAATATTCAGAGATCTTTTCTTCTTATTGTTAGAGTTACAGTTTTGCTACATAGAGAGCAAATCCATCAAAAAAAAATGTTTGTAAGAATTTGGAATGCATCAAAAACGTCATTTGATGTTTAAATATTTTCATTTGACTGATTCANATATATAGTGCAAACATTATAATGCTGTAAATAAAAACCCAGCAAACACATTATGACGTATAGTTTTACTTTTTTTTTCTCCTTGGAATTTTTTAATATAAACAAATACTCAGAGATCCCTTCTTCTTATTGTTAGAGTTACAGTTTTGCGACAAAGAGAGCAAATCCATCAAAAAAATCTTTGTAAGAATTTGGAATGTATCAATAACGCCATTTTGACTCTATAACTACAGTCAAACCCTGCTATAGTGAACCCTCAGATATAGTGAACGAAATGTTCGGTCCCGTGCCTTGCTATACGCGTATAATGTTATTTTTTGTGGATATAGTGAACCAAAAAAGTGATGAAGTTGGATATAATGAACTTTTTTCTGTCTTCGGCTGATTTCCCCCCCTTTTTTTGTAATATTTTTGAAATTTCTACTTCAAAATTAATATATATACCGATTTTTAAAACCATCTATAGAGGGGAATGAAGCGATAAACATTTTTCCTTGTTTGCTTCTTTTATCTCACTTTCCCATCCCTAAACAAACCAAGCAGATGTTTCCTACCCAGGAAAATGGATGCAATTAAGCTGATATTTGCAGGGAATATAAACTATCCAAATCTGCAGTTTGTAACATATGGAAAAATAGGCAATTAATAATTTCTGCTCATGAAAAAAATTTAGATAGTAGAAAAAAGTTGAGAAAAGCAGATCATAAGGATGCTGAAGAAGCATTACTCCCTGGGTTCACCAATCGAAGAAGTCCCAATCTTCCAGAATCTGGACAAATGTCGATGAATTTGCTAAGTGATTTTATGATACTACTTTTATGTGCTCGAATGGAAGGGTAGACAGGTTTAAAAAGCGGAATAACAGAAATTCAGAAAAAATTATCTGAGAGTCGGGAAGTGTTTCCATATCTGATGTTGAGAATTGCTCATCAGCTAAAGATAACTAATTTTTTTTTGTACGCAAGACGAAGAGTAAGGAAAAACAACCCATTTTTTGCTACTACATAATATTTTTTCAGTCATTTATTTGAATAATGTGTAATAAAAGGGAGCAGTTTGGGAACCTTTAGTTAAATTGCTTGCGTAACGGATATAGTGAACTCCCGGTTATAATGAACCAAAATTTCGGTCCCTTGAAGGTTCACTATAGTGAGGTTTGACTGTATTTTATTTTTTAAAAAAGTATTGGTTTTCACTCTCCAACATTAACATTTATGCAAATGAAAATTTCAGCATTTTACAACAAAGTTTAAAAACAATAACAATACAAAAAGTAAAAGCAATAAATGGTTAATAATTAAAAAAAATGTATACAGTATGAAAGTTTAGAAAAATAAATAGATAAGAAATAAAGAGAAAATACTTACAATGAACGAAATCAACAGATGTGGGATCAAAAGTATTGAAATGTATACCCCATTTGGCACCCTTCACAATAATGAAGATCATTAAGTAGATAACAGAGAGTGTACCTAAGCATAAAATTCAACATTTTTCACTTCTTTCTTTCCAATCAATTCAATTTTTAAGTAAACAGAAACAGTTCCATATTTTTTTAAGGCAAAATTAAAAACGATGACTGTTTGTGTCCAGTTATGCTCACTTTAAGGAGAGAGTACATAATGGCCTATTCATAGAAGATTCACAGAGAATTAAGTGCGTAATGAGAGGCATCTATTTTGTAGGAGTGTCCGTCATATGAGGTTTCACTGTATATTTTAAAACATTCTCACTTTTAATCTTTTTTCATTCATGAAATGTTAAGATTCTATTGAACAGCATGTAAGATCTGATTGTCAGACTCTTTGTGGAAGGTTTGCTTTCAAAAATTCTGCTCCTAATTTTGTGAAAAAAATGTCCTGGTTTCAAGAAAAACCACAAAAACTAGCAATCTCTTCAGACTTTTTATAGAAAATCTGTTTCTTTTTTCTCTCCCCAATTTACTCATTTCGTGAATATGTGAAAATAAGGTCCTATTTTTTGTGAGGGGAAAAAAAACCATGCCTTGCAATTATTTTTATTTTACTTACAGTTAGAAGTTTTAATCAAAAAAATTTCATAACACAAAGGGAAAAAAAAGAGTCATTGTGTCAGTCAATGTAACTTCAAGAGAATTTCTGCACATTAATTTTTAAAAAAAGAAAAGAAAAAATAATAAATTATTCTTAAATCCAAGACTTTTTCTTTTCAACAAGATTTGGGTCGAACTGTAGATTAGATCTTCAAACACATTATATTAAAAGCGTATCATTACAAACAGTTAATTCAAAACTTAATTCAAGATACTTTTTTTTTGTACCAAAACTTTGACCATTCCTAAAATAACTAAGAATAGATAACAATAACTATTATCTATCTATTACAATAATTCTTAAATTATAATATTTTTAATTTTATCACCATGGCAGCAGAATGATCAGAAATTCTGTTGACTATGAGTATTATAGGATGTACGTAATTTTTAATACTGCAGTTGAAGGTTATATATCAATAATGTATGCGTTTAATCCTTTAAAATAGCATTAAAATTGATAAAAAGAATATTTAATGTAAAAACTAATTCTAAATTTATATGTAATAAAATGTTATAAAAACAATATCAACAAATTAATTTAAAATACATATATTTAGTATGTATATATATTTATGCATACTCTCGATATCTCAAAGTTGAAGAGACATGAAAAGATTTTTGAGATAGCTAGTTTTCGAGATGAAAAGTTCAAAACTAAATAGTATGTTCAAAATAGTAAAAAAATATATTCTAAAATACTACTCTAAAAAGGAGAGTCATGAAACATAAGAATAACTACTATTAAAAATGTATGTAATGATAGTTGACTATAAGTCTAAATACAACAATGATAATTTTATTTTGATAAGGTAAGGAAAAAAATAATTATGCATTAAAAAGAAAAGAATTGATTTACAATAAACTTACATTGTGATTTTTCCGAAAAATTCATTTTCTATTTAAAAAAAAATTCAACATAACAAGGTTTTAGAAGAAATTTTCCGACATAAGAATTCAAATTAACATTAGGTGGATATATAATGCCAAGGAGAAATATATTTTTTATTACATAACAAGGTTTTTGAGATATCTAGAGTTTACTGTATATGTAAAATTATAATCTTTTTAAAGTTACATTTAAGTGATATTGTATTTTATTTTATAACCATCATTGAACAGTCGACCCAATTTTGGGTTTACGACTACTAATATTTGACACTATAGCCTAGTAATTTTGAACCCAATCCATTAGACAAGGGAACACCTGGATTGAGTATTGGGAGAAATTCACCTTCGTTGATGGAACTAAACCGCATTTGCATTTCATCCGAAGGAAAACCATGAAAAACTCCCAGGGTTAGCCTAACCTATGATCTGTCTACCAGTGAGGATAGTTTATGTCAGCACTGTGATTGGGGAGAGCCAGGTGCGGAATTTGTATCAACCAGTCATGGCTAGGATTCGAACCCGGTTCACCTCATTGGAAGGTGAGCGCTTTATCTCCTGAGCCGCCACGGCTCTTTAAGTGATGTTAAGTGATTCAACAGTAAATTGCTATCTTTGGTACTTATCTCAAATATATAAAAAGTTTCAACAAAAATTATGAAATTTTTAACATGAATAAGAAATATTGAACGTAACATGTACCTAAAGCATTCAGCTTTGAGAAAAATGTAGCAGATTTCAAACTTATCAATGGAGCAAAAACTGCAGCAATATAAAAAGGAATAGTCGTTTCCATGTTCCAATATTTATAGAATGGATCAATGGTACTGTTACCAGTTGCACTAAGCATAGTTAAACTGCTATTTATGGGGGTTGATGATGGGCAATAAACTATAAAAAAAATCAAACAAGTTAGGAATATAGATGAAAAAGATTCAGTAAAACATGAATAAAAATTTAAACTCAAAATAAAAATTAACTTTTTTTGTAACAAGAAAAGTTTCAAACAATTTAGCTTACCAAAAAGCCTTAATGAAAAAGAATCACTTAAAAAGATAAGATTTTTTTCGGAAAATAAAAATCACTAATGTATTCACTTAAAAATCACTTATATCACAAAATATTTTCAAAACAGAATTTAAGAAATAAATAAAATAAAAAATTAATAAAAATAATAAAGTACGTTTTTTTAACTCTAAAAATATGAAAATAGATTATTTTCCTTTTGCAAAAAATAAGTCAAATTAAGTAACTGTAATTAATTCTCTTTTTCTAACTAGTTAAACTTTAACCAAAATTGTGATTTTGACTGAAGAAGAAAAGAATTTTATAAGTTAATTTTTTTATTTTATTTACTATTATTTTTTTGCAAGAAGTATAAATTGAATAACTAGGGTCTCCAAACTCCAAAATCAATACAGTAAAAAGTTTGACTTAAAAATTAAAATTTAATTGTAATTTACAAAAATAATTTCTTTTTAACAAAGATTACCAATTGAAATAAAAAAAGGGAGTTATAAATAAAAAGATGAAACAAAAATTTTATAAACAATCAAACTGATATAAAAACTTTATAAATTATCATATATTTTGAAAAATACATGGAATATATTAAAATAAAGTTACCTAATTTATAAAGGCTTATATTTTAAAAAAAAATAGATTACAAATAAAAATGTACAAAAATAGCTTAGATAATAAATTTACTAATAACACCGAGAAGCTGTTTCAAAATATTAAATTATGAAATGCTAAATTAATTTATTTATTGAAAATTTAAAATAAGTTACAAAAGGGCAATGTTTGTTTATTTTTATACAAAAACTATTATAAAAATATAAAAACTCTAAAGCATACGCACAATGTTAATATGCACACACACAGCTGATATTAAATAATAAGTCAGTTTAAGTATATTCTGGTTAATATCGAAAATTTCAAATTTAGTAGGGAAAATATAAATATACATTACCATCAGGATACATTGTGTTGTTGTTAACATCAGGTGAAGGTGAATGGCCCATGTAAGTTTCTAAAAAAAATATTTGCATAAAATTATTAAATACTATCTTTCTATGCAATTATGTAAACTAACATCAGCTTTAAAATATTCCAATGCAGTAAACTACCAAAAGGTGGCCACAAAAAAATTCCCCAACAGAAAAAATTCAATTAAATCTCTCCGATTATATAACTGGTGGGTGGCATTCATTCGATTATTTATTTTACAGTTAGGCCTTGCTCTCAAACATAAAATATATATTACATTTCAATAATAATATAAGTCGGAAATAAATATTATCTTTAAAAAAATTAAAATCAGACCCATTTAAAAAAATATATATATATATATATATATATTTAAATTTTTGATACCTAAAACTTAAATTAATTTATTGTATCCAACTATTTGGGTATTTTAATTCAATTCTCTGTTCTAACTGATTTTCCAGTTCTGTGGCAACAATGTAGCAGATTTTGTGTAGGCAGATCATATATGACAAAGAAAGAAAAGATGTTTTAACAAACAGAAAATGTAACATATTGAAACAGATGAATCTTTAACTACCTGTAGAATTTACACTATTATTATCACTCTTTCTGCCACTTCATAGATAATAAGAAGTAAACTGCATGCATTTTTTTATTAGAATGGTGTGTATGAAATGTCAGATTTCAAAAACTGTACATCTTTATTCAAAAGCTGTTTTTTTAATCAAAACCAGCTTATTTACACGTTCTTTTGAGAACAAACTTTCATATTTTTAAGCATTTAGAACAGTTTTTACAGGCTAAACAGCATGAAAACTAAGACAGGCTGAGACAGATTGCATATCAGGGTTTATTGATTCTAAAGATCAAAATTTCTTTAAGACAGGCATCCATGCATTAAAATCCAAATAAGAAAAGTGTTTTTAATCAAATGGGGTAAATTTAGTTTAAAATAAACAAATATTGAGAAAAGACATGCAGTTTTATATATTTACTTAAAAATCCGATATTTCACATGCACCAAACTCATAAGATGACATTCCATATAAGGCAGTGCATAGCAAGGCTTTCAAAAATCGCTTTTACATATATACATATTCCGTTTCACTCTGAATTGAAGCATAGGGCTTCTCCACCTCACTCTTTTTGTAGTCAAGTATTTTGCCTATTGCCATTTTTTCCTATTACAGTCTTAACTTAATTGCATATCGGATAATTGAATAACCCTCTTACACGAATAAAATTTAATGGAACCAAATCATTATATATTAATCTAATGTTAAATTTCCTCACTAGCCTCTTCTTAATTGCATGAAGAAGAGGTACTGAAAAGAGAAAAAAAATATTTTTAAGAAACGTTCCACCAGTTAGAATGCAATTTCTATTTTTCAGTTAAAAAAATAAAAATAAAATAGGTGGTTCTTTAACAGGGACTTCCTGCTCATTTGTTGCTCTACATAGATATTAGGGGTATAATGTAAGAATAAATCTAACCTTGCTGGCAGTTATACATTGAAGTAAATAAAGGAATTACATTTAGATTGCAAAAAAAGGTACAGAGTGATTTGTTTTGTGGTCAAGACTCGCAGTCCCCTCCTAGTGTGCTACTAGTTTTGATAAGAAAAGGTTTTAAAAACCTAACACACGAGTGTTTCTTTCTCTTAAGTAGAATAATCATTGCTTACTCCAGTGAACTTTAAATAACATTCATATTTCATAATGCTAACACGGACAGTTTTAATTACAATTGTTAATTGATCATAGAGTTTATTTAATCAAAAACTACACTATGCATTAAATACCATTGAAAAAGTAAAATTTCTCCAAAATGCATAATTTAAGATAGAATAAAGCACTCCACTTTTAATCGGATAACCCGCTCAATTGAATAGAGTTGGCTAGAACCAATGATATTCCTTTAAGTGGGGTTGACTGTATTTTCAATTCGTTTACAATCCTGCTGCTGCAAGGTTCCTTTTAGTTCTTTCTTATTTTTTCTATTGCCCTGAGGGCTCCAATCAAAAAACCTATTTTACTTTAAATTTTTCAAGTTTATGTCGAATGAAATTTCCAATCATGACATTTCCTTTTACATTTTTTAATTAAAAACTTCAAGTATTTCTTAACAACTGTTTAGTAAGAATCTTGTTTATCAAGTGGTTTCATAAAATTTGTAATGAAGAAATCCTTAGAAAAGCAAAACAGAAACCGATTGATCTCGAAATTAGAAAACGTAAAACCATTTTTGCATCACCTTTTTTGCTTCAGTGCAAAACATTATGATCTTTCTCTTAAATTTTTCATTTTGAAATTTCTATTTAATATTAAGTTCTCATAGTATGAGTTTTAATATTAAAATATAAAACTGATTTTTTATTTAAATATCAGCAGTAAAAATATTTTAAATGCAATAGCATTACATTAAATGCAAAATATCACCGTTTTACTGAGTTAAAACATCGTTACTTAAAATTTTCATGTTTCAGCATCATTTTGTAATTGTTAAAAAGAATTTATAAAACAAAAATTTATAAAACAAGAATTTATAAAACAAAGCATCAAACAGATGAAAAGAAGAAATGATTTGATGACTTCTCACTACTTAATGTGAGGTGAACATGAATACACACAATAACAAATAATGAACTTAATGATGGGAATCTAAACGCATTTTGAAGTTTGAAAAATGATAATTTTACCCCCCCTCCCCTTGCTAGTATTGAAAAACAGCTTTTTTTTCGCAATAAATTTGATTTCATTTTTCACAAAAGTATAATTAGTGTTAAGTCTTTAAAACACATAGGGCAAAGAAGACACCTAATTAACAATTTGGCGAATAATAATTTCATAATTTGATCAATAAGGCATTTTTAGTAGCCATACAAAATCAAAGAAAAGATTCGAGTACAAACAGCGATGTGATTTTTTACTTTTTTCTTTCTGGATATTCAGACACATTTAATTGACTTATCAGATAATCGCATGATTTTAAAAACACAACACAATCTGAAACTAATTATTTTACCGGAAAATTAAAAAAATTATTATTTTTCTTAGCGTGCTTTGGTAGATTAAGACCTATAAGCAAACCAAACACTTTTAACTTTATATAAAAATCACCTCATCAAACTTTGATCACCAAATCTATTAAAAAAATGTGCAGCCATTTAGTTTTAAAGATCGAAAAATATTTCTCTTCAATATATTTTGAATAAGCATCTTGGTATTGATGTTGGCAATAATAATATTAGTACTGGTTAGTGTACTTTAAATAGGGAACGCAAGTATGGTACTCAAATGGTTAAAGTATTTACTAAGCTTAAATTTTTCTTTGGCTGAGGTATTTTTAAGCGGTGACCCAACACTGTATAGTAAAAAATTTCTAAAATACAACTTAAGGAATAATAAATGCAAGATATTAATTAGGCTTTGTGTTTAATTAATATTTCAGTGAAATGTAAATTATTTCGTAAATAAGAATCCAATCCTATAAATTGCTGTAATTAGTGTTATAAAATACTTAACACTTATTGAGTACTATTGCAATAAATGGAAAATGTTATGATAAATATTTGTGAAAAGATGGGAATGCATGTTTTGTGAACTAACAAAAAAATCCAACTAAAACAGTGAACAATCAAAGCAAGGTAAAATATTATTAAAAGCATATTTAAAAAGTAAAACATACCATAAGCATAAACACCAATGAAATAAAGAAAATTGGACATAAGAACCCAATAAACAACAGCTCCTCCAAGTAATGGAATTAAAGAAAAAAATGTAGCTATTCTTTCTGCCCACGGACCGAGTAAATATCGACAGAAATCGGGAAACTCTACAGCTGAGTTAGGTAACTCTAAAAATAAAAAAAAGGAGAAATAAAATAACCTAAATGATTTGACGAAACACAAAAAGAATATATTAAAATGTTTAATAATTGTGTTTAGCATATCTTATTCACTCACCAGCTATACTGCGAAGACTGACTATTCTATAAGCTGTGTAAAAACAAAGACTTCCCATGAGAAACATGATCACCATGCCACATGCAAAGCCAGCCTTTAAACCACCGAAAACAAAAATTCAAAATAAATTTCAGACACTTAAAAATAAACATTGCTTAGGCACAAACATTAAGTGGAAAAAAATTTAAATACTTACAAATATTGTAACTTAATTTACTAATTAGTAATCATATTATATACATACATATATATATATATATAT